CCGTTCGTAGCGGCGGAGACGTGCGTTCGCAGCGGCAGAGACGCGCGTTCGCAGTGGCGGAGACGCGCGTTCGCAGCGGCGGAGACGTGCGTTCGCAGCGGCGGAGATGCGCGTTCGTTGAGGCAGAGTTGCGTGTTTGTTGCTGCGGAGATGGGTGTTCCAATGGTGCGGAGGGAGACTTAAAAACGTGAGAATGGTGGAGGAAGCTCGCGCGCAGGGAAAATGGTTTTCTCACTAACTAACCCTAGGCAAAAACAACGTCGTTTTGGGCCATTTAGGGGTCAAAAAAAACGTAACCAGACTCGTGGACTCGGGCTCAGACTCGCAATTCTGACCAAGTCTACCCGAGTCTACCCGAGTCTACCCAAAAACGAGTCTATTCGCGAGTCAACTCGTTTTGCTACCCTGGACTCGTAGACTCGTACGAGTTTACGAGTTGACTCGCGAGTTTGACAACCATGCCTGAAAGTTTCTTTGCCTTCTGCAAGTGCAACAACCACTATATATTGCAACAAGTGAAGGCTAGGCAGTGCTATAAATATAATTTTAATCACAGACACTCCTCCCTCTTTCTTTCTATAACAACTCTTACTATTATTAAATTTAAAACTAGAGTCATGCTAATAAGTACTTTAAGAAAACTGGTTAAAGAGCATTAAATATATCTCATAAATACCTTTAAATATTTAAAAAAGCAAGTGTTAAATCATAAATGACTTTTGTATTTTTGATATATGAAATATGTTCTTTTCTAAAATAAAATCTACATTTCTTAATTAGTGTCCTTAGGACAGTTAGTGTTTGCTTCAAAATATTATTCAATCCTCCGAATTTTGATTTCGTAGGTTATTTATTACTCCCTCCCTCTAATCCATTTTATAAGAATCTTTCCAGAAGTTTGTCTTGATCCATTATATAAAACTCTCTCCTAATTGAGACTACATTAATTTATTTATTTTTACAACAATGACCATTTTTTGGTAAATTACAACAATGACCTTAATTCTTCAATAGTTTTTCTAGATAATAAACAGTAAATGTGGTAAATTAATTTCTTGGAGTCTCTCTCATGAGGCTAGGGGAAGATCAATAGCCCGAATTGCCTCTGTGATTCATTTCACCTATTTTGCTTCAGTGGAAATACATTATGACAATGGAGTCCCAATAACTTTAACAGTAATTCCAGAGAAGTTATACAAATTGTTGATAAATTTAATACCACTACCTAAATTAACTAAATTTTTTAATTCTAGTGCAGTAGTTAAAGGGGTCCTATATATAGGACAAGAGGTAGCATTTATATTCGTCGGAAATACTTTATTCCTTCAGAAATTTCTGATGGAAATTTCCGTCGAAAATTGTTTGAAGATCTTTATATGATTCGACGGAAAATTTTTGTTTAATTTTCATAAATTTATTAATGTAAATAGTTTATCCTCTTTATGAGAGTAAACAAACACAGACACTTATTCCTGTAAACTAAGGTTACGCTCCTTAGAGAGTGTAGAAGCTATCCTATCCTTTTTTGTGAGAGTTGAAAACAAACTCAACACCTTCATTTGTTGTAAAGCATGAAGAGGCTAGTAGAAAGAATACTTGTGAACCAGAAGTGATTTGAGAA